AAAAATGCTATCCCATTCGGAATTTGCTGATGAAGCAGAAGGCTTCCCAACAATTCTGATCTCACTCGAGCTTATATCGATTTTGACCGTATCTTTGGACGGTTTTATATGTTCGGGTACTTTTACAAGTACATCCAAATCGCTGAGAGTCTGGGTCCAAACGTAATTTTCTCTCACGGCTCCGTTGTAACTGTCCGACGCATGATTCGTCTTGAGCGATTGCGCGGAGGGTGGTTTAACATCGTTAGATTTGTCACACGAATCGATTTCAATTTCTTGCGCCACTGGTGGAGTAAATCTACAGCTCTCGTCTTGCGTCAAAACCAGTTGATCCAATGTACCACTGCTGTTTGTACTATCATCATCGGACAATGTTGCCTTTTGTAAAGATGGTGTGGTGTTCTTCCACCTGTACATGGTACTCAGTACGAGTTTCTCTGCCACTCCCGGTGGGAAGCCCAATTTCTGCTCCGAGTCCGCTTCGACATAGAAGTCCGTGCTGATATTACAAAACGTTATCATATAAAATGAAATTGTATTATTTGAAGCTTTATTGGTTATCGATACCTCTGACACTCACCATCTATATAAAAAACCAAAGAAGGCGTCTAAGAAATTACTGATGTTCTTCTCCTCACGAAGCACGTGGAGAAACGTTTGATCGTGACCGGATGGCCGACCCATGACCGAACGGAGATTTCTACGGAGTCCTGGAAACACTCGGCATACTCTGCCGGTTGTCGAATAAATGGAAAGAAGAAATGGCTCGAGAAAATTCAATTATCTTGGACACGCGTTTCTGGAACCGGTCCAAGTTTCTAAGAATGTTTAAGATAACCTATACACTCCAAATTCGTCTCGTATACACTAGTTCAGCAATAGAAAACAGACCCAATGCCGACATGAGAGCATGAGAGCTGTACTACAGCTGTTCTTTGTAGATGCACTTCACTTTCTGCACTTAAAGTGAAATAAATATGTAATGGACATTGGAGAGAAGAGGAGAGAAGACAAAAAGTGGAGAAGGTTCAACTACAAAGAACAGACCTAAAATCTGTATCAGACTTTAAATTAATTAATTAATTAATTAATCGAAATTATTATAATTGTGTACCATAATGTATAATAGAAAAATATTGGGTAATTGTCTTTAATTTTGGGAATTATGTCCGTCACGGACATCGGTCAAAGATTTAGAACCTTTTTAATGGGTAGCTGTCATTCCTGGGTTCAGGATTTGCCTTCGGTTGCAACGTAAACTATATAGATTTTCAGTACTTGCACTTTATTTTAAATAGTATTATTAAGATTTAAAACATATCAGTAGTATTTATTTCAAGTTAGAATATTTTATAATTGATGATTACTTTATATATTATTAATTGATATGGACAACAACCTGTCAAATGTTTTGAAAAACCGGAAGCGCTAATCGGGAAATGGCGGAGCCAATCAGCGAAAGGAACACTAGTTGGCTTTGCACGCTTGCCATTTGCTTAGTTGCCATCTGCCACTCTCGGAAATGTCAAATCGTCAAATGTGAATGACCGTCGTTTGCAGGATAAACGTAAACAAGCCGAAATATAGTTCCATCAGTAGTATACCGTGAAAGAAGCAGCTGTTAATTGTTATCAAATGAAATCACGTCAAATTAAATACGATAATCTAAAAAAGGGTCAACAATTGTATACGAAAAATTTTTATATGTAAAATATTTGCCGATTTAACCATTTAACAAGCGTTAAATAGTGATATGCAATATCTCAGTTTACCACACGTAATTAGCAATCCAGTATATTATATAAATAACATAATAAAACGTCGCTGAGAAAAAAAACATAACCCTCGCTTACACCCGATAGTGCACTATGGCAAGTGTTCCTGGTTTCACACTGGAAACTGCAAAAGGTATAATCCATATTATGTAAATCATGTATATATTATAAATGTATATTGAAATTGTAATTACATAAAGAAATATCTTTTTCCTTCAGCGATATTGACGGACATTCTGACAGCGCTGAACACATCTGAGAATTTGCAAAAGCTGACAAAGGCAAAGGAGAGCTCTGGCAACGAGATGTTGAAAATGATGCAATTTGTGTTTCCACTAGTAACGCAGATTCAAATGGACGTCATAAAGAATTATGGATTTCCAGAAGGAAGGGAAGGTGGGTGGATTCAGGCCATTTAAGGATATGATGAAAGTAAGTCTGATGAAAATAGAATTCAAGGATTGAGATTGTCATCTGTGCGCAAAGCAGGTACTGTGCAATTTGCGCAGCTCATTAGGGCCTTGGAGAGAGAGGACGCCGAAATAGCGCAGCTACACAGCCAGGTCCGTTCGTACTTCCTTCCACCGGTTACGATAAACTCCTCGACTGAAGCATCTCTTTAGATTGAAAGGGATTCACATATGAATTCCTCTAGAAAGCAAGATGAATTCTTCATATGTATATCATTTTTACCTGAAGACTGTATTAATTTACCTAAGGATAACTTATGCGAGTGGAGAAAAAATTATCCTATGCATTTTTATGGGAAAAAAAAAATAGATTTTACATATCGTTTTTTGTTATATACACTTATTTTGATAAATTAAGTATTAAAATAATTCTGATCTCATCACTCATCTAAAGTCTACGTGCATAACATCTTAATAAGAATATTTGTCTAAAGATAAATACCTTTTTAATTGAAATATTAATGACAATGTAATGTTCGTTTTCTCTATTCTTTTATGGAATAATTTAACTATTAAATATATATAGATTTTAGTTCGTGCAATCAAATCTGTGTACAAATTTTCTGGAGAAAAGCACCAAAGGAATTTTAAGTGTTTAATTTGAGAAAACTTAAAAACCTTTATATTTATTTGTATAATTATTAATAAGTATATCATTATAATCTACTAAAATATATAATATTTATTTATATAAATGTTCTTTGAATTCTTTTTTTTTCCTGCAATTACATCAGCTCTAAAAGCTAAACAAAAATATTCCACTGTTCGCACAGGGATGAAGCCGTGTATACATCATGATTTGTATATATTTAGTCACTTAAATAAGACAGGTATAAAAAAGATGCAGATCTACATAACAAACCAAAGTATACAGGATGCTGTGGTAACGTCATCCTATATTCAACAGGCACGATGGCTAGTAGAATCGTTTATATTTTCAAACCGTTCAAGACAATGATTGTATAATTAAATCTCTACACGTATCGTACATTTTTTAACTTCATGTCCTGGCGAACATCTGGATAAATACATATTAAATATACAATTTCACTCATACAAGCAAGTAATGTTAAAATTGCATAAAGCCAACAGAAATTATAGATTTAACGATAAATAATACATTGGAATTATTTGCTCGACGTTTACTTATTGGAACAGCTTGTTGAATCGTGCAACTTTCTGATTTATCTCGGAGACAGGCGAATATAGTTCCCCCTTGTCAATGCTGTATACTGGCGAAGTATTCTCTTTGTATAAAACTGTAAAATGCGTCGTCATTTTGGAGAAAAAGATGCTGAGATCATGCAACAGATTTCAATGGTGCTAAAAAAAAAAAAAAACCTTTCGCTTGTAACTTACATCAATGCTATTTATAAACGAGCAAATATCGCGAAATAAATAATATCATCATGTAATATCAGAGCGGTACGAATTATATAGGCAAGAGTAGCAAATCTAATAAAAGGGGCGAAAAAAAAAACTCAGCAAATTTTTCTACAAACGCAGAACAATGACACGGCTTTCGAATATCCAAAACTAAAAAACTTTCTGTATATCCATTGATAACACTACGAACACTTGACAAACGGGGAACGATATGCTTTAATATATGTACATTTCTTATGTGTAGATCAAGTTTCTGCCTTATACGGCTATGTAAGAAATTCGTGTATACTTTGCAACGCAGTAGCTGCCCGTATTGCGGATCCTGTATTAGAAAGCAAGCCACAACATCGAATTTTTTTTTTTACAGACCATAATCGACACATCTTAAGCGTACGATGGCGAACGGAACTCTATTCATTGTAATGCTTTTGCAAATCATGATTACAGTCTCACGATCTCATTTTTTCCCCCTTTTTTTACTATAGAAAACACGTGTGTACAAAAACGCATAAACTGATCTCAATGTCAGCGTTACTTTACATCCTTCCCCGGCGGTGATGCGGTGTTGCTGAGCACAATCTTTCCCTGAATTATGTGATTCATACATAGAAAACAGATCGCATAGAGAAAGGAGTGTATATAAAATCTAGTCGTACCCCTTGGGATCGCTTAAGCGTTCAAAAGTTAAAACATGATTTGTATTATTATGTTGTGTACCTTTTAACCATTCAACCATTCACTTAATTACAAATATGCCACACTTCTACCAGTTAATTATTTGGGTGATTATTTCACAATAAACTTCAAGAAGCGAGTAGTACATGCAAAAGAAAAATTTAAAAAAAAAAAGGAGACTTGTACAAAGAGCGTAAGTGCGCTGCAATATAATTCGTCGAAAAAAGTAATGTTTCAAGCTATCGATAAAAATCCCCATTGACGGGGACGTGTCTCCTCCGCCCTCTTATTGGTCTTATTCAACGTCTGTCCCTGCCCACAATTGCTATAAAATCATATCTTTTTTTCTTTTACCGTTAACCGAAATCTATACCGTAATAGTACAATGTAGAACTGCGGATCACGTTTCGCAGTAATTACATAGTTTCCAATTGATCGATCAGGCTACGAGAGGAACGGATTAGCCGTAGTAGTTGTGTTCGCTGTCCATGGATCCTGTCGAATCTGATTGATTGTAGGACGGGGTGGTGGTGGCGTCACAGTTGCAAATGGATTTGCTGCATATGACACGGTTGCTGTAAAATCATTCACGTATGTTCGTTCGTTAGTATAAAATAACTCTTATCGCTCACACGAAGACAGCTCAATCATTTAAACGCCTTTCAATACATCGACATCCGAGACTTGTATCAATATCTTGAATAAAAACCAAAAAGATGTTATTTTATGACCTGGAGGTAGAAATACATTTCCTGTCTTTTACTTTCATTCGATAAGATTAGTTCTTATTTCAAGATATTGATTTGGACTTTCAATTTGCATATTACGAGAAAAAAAATCGTGGAAATTAAAAATATGAAAAAATAAACTATCTAAAAAAAGGGGAAATCTACGTATTCCATTGGAACACTACAAGATATATATTCGAAGAAAGATTTAAATCACAGTACTCTTAAGTAAAAACATAACGCGCTTGACGTAATATATGAAAGACGTAATAAGCATAATTATACTGCACAATAGTCACCATGCATTCATGCCATATTCTTAATCATGTTATTGATACTCACGAACTTATTTCCAATGAAACGCTATTTTGTAGACATAGAGCGTGTTACAGCGTAAAATATTCTCTTTTTCCATGATATTTAAACTATTTGTTCGCTGAATATTACATTAATTAGATTTTGTCTTTAATGGATTATCATATGATAAGAGTAATATATGCGAATGAGAAATATCTTGAATACTGGACTTCTCTTTCTCGATATTTGTACCTTCTAATCGCTAATGAAAACTTACCCGCTGGCGCAGGAGCCGACGGCTTAATCGCCGAAGCGCTGACAAGATTATCCAAATTGACGAGCGCCGAGTTCTCTCCTAAGAAGGATTGTGGCGTCTTCTTCACGGCACCGGTGCTGGCGGGAAGATTTTCACCCATGCCACTCAGATCGAAGGGATCTCCTCCCGATGATGCCGTACCACCTGTTATTAAATCATATGATCTCATTACGCAAATTCAGCAGACATTAATGTTGCGTTTCACAGAGAAATTTTGCGTGGCTCAAGTACCGTTGTTCACCGTCTGCGGACTAGCTCCGAGTTTTCCCCTGTTGGTAATCACGTCAAATTCATCTAAATCGCTGAGAGGACTCGTCACGCCGGCGTTACCGTTGTTCTGAGTAGGAAAGTTGTTGAAGCCCGGCCCCGTGCCGTTGAAACCGTTGCTAGTGCTGAAGGTGGTAGCGGCCGAAGATACGGGTGGCAAATTGAAACCTATATTTTGAGATGACGATACATTGAAGCCAATGTTAGTCGTCAAGTTTGAATTGTTGAAGGATGGCGACGGGGACGTCATGCCATCTTGAGCCGTCTGTAATGAGAAAATTTCAAACCAATGTGTTAGTACAAACATTGTTAAGCTCGAGGAACTTTAAAGGACAGATCTGTATTACCTGTTTGTTCGTCTCCGATTCGGTAGCAGTGGTAGACGGAACTGGTGACCAAGGGTCATTGGTACGCGGAGGAGATGCGACCGTAGCGGGAGATGGGGCAGGTGCACGCCACGGGTCGATAGTGGCAGCTATAATTAAAATTTAATTTGAGTCCAGTCCAAATTATTCGTCAAATATTGCAATCAGAACTTATGAAAACTTAGAACACCGCTTTCATTATTCAGACATTACAATAGAGAACAAAGAGTAGACATATTCTCGATAAGGATCCAAATATAGTAATTTAATACATTTTAAGAAAATTATGTGAAAAAATTAACTGATTATACCTGAGGATCCTGAGAATTATCGGAAATCGTCAAAGAGAGACGTAAGAACACATGCAAAAAGAATATAAATATAAAGATTAAATAAATGTACAATCGTGTAAAGAGCACGTTGCCGCAATAATCATAACAAGACTCACTTGGTCTTTGTGGCGGAACGGGCGTCCACGGGTCTACCGCGGGTACGGGTGATGTCGTACTCGTTGTTGGAACACTCCATGGGTCGTTCTGTGGCTGTAAAACGAGTACACTATTATTCTTCCACCAGTTTATCAATAACTCCACCATTTGTCAATAATAACAAAACCGTTATTCCATGCTTGTACGCTCTTCTAAATACATATTTAATGTCAATAATGTCCTCTAACATTTATCGGACATACCTTATACGCATGAAATTCAGATAAATCCAAAGACTGTGGTGCATCATGCAAAAACGATACAATTTCGTGTTATCATGCAAAGTACGTTTGTTAAAAGTCCGCAGCATAATTACCTGTACCTGTGGTCTAGGCGGTGGAGCTGTTATCGGAATACCCCAAGGATCGGTTTGTACAGAAGAGCCGCTCGCTTCTCCCAAATTTACATCGAGTAAATCCAGCATGTGGCTTTGCTTCTCAGATTGCGGAGTTCTGAAATTCATACACGTGGCATTGTCCCGTGAATGCACAGTCGGGTGTTTTTTTTTTTCTGTATCGAGTTACTTGATTATTATGAATTACATTGTGGATTCCGCTGATCACTTACTTAAAATCTTGCTGACTTTGGCTCAGAGCTAACTGCAATCTAACGTCATCGCTGCGTCTTCTTTGTTCTTCTTGCTCCGCTTCCTCTCTAGACATAGCCAAGGCCAGCTGCAGTTGTAATTCTTCCTCCCCTACCGTTTGCGGTCTTGCGGCTTCCAATTCCGCTGTAAAATATACTTGTTGCGTTAATTCTTACGTAAAGTAATTAATGTTTGCGTTTGATAGATTGCGCGAAAAATAAACGAGATATGATAAGAGAATTTAGATCAAATGTGTAAAAGAATTATCTCGTGCCAGTTAAAGTAATCTCAATTTGGAAGGTCTTGACCAAAAAGGAGCTACGAAATGCTAGTGCTTGTTACTATAAATAGGAACTACTTGTACGTCTGGCTGCTGATTCGGATAAGTGACAGGGTTCCCAATCTTGAAACTGAAACAAGATAATAACGTGTAAGGTTATAGTTTTTAATCACTGATCGATAACACATTACTTACATCGCTGCTAACAGGTGACATTGTGTCCAGACCGTCACTTCCAAAACCACTAACCGACTGTGCAAATCTCTCTTTTGCCTTCAACGCTCTAGCTCGCTCATTTCTCAATCTCTCGTCATCTTTTAATAAGGCCACTAATTGTTTTGCTTTTTCTCGAACATTAATCCCTTGATCTTTATGCCCATCCATGTATTGAAAATCTATGCAAAAGAATAATAGGACTGTGTTGAAAAACCGGGGATCCTTAGATTTGTTCATTAATTACAAATATACGCCAATGCATTTCTGCATCTTATTAATATATAGAGCTTTAATTTTCCAATAATATATCACACATATGAATACTCGATCTCATATATTATAAAATAAAATTTCACATTTGTTACCTTTTAAAGTTTGGATGGCAAAAATATTTTCTTTGCACTGCTGCGCTACCTTTTCACTTCCTGTCTTGATAAGATATTCTAAGAGAACTAAGGCTTTGTATACATGTCGCCAGTTTTTCCCATGATCATTCAATCGTTTCCATAGCATTTGCATAATTTCCGTAAACGCTACAACATTGTATGTTAAGTCGGCAATTTCTGCCATAAGTGTACTACTTGGACCCCACGGATCATTGCTGGTAGCTTTTCGTACAGCTTTCTGTAGAAAAAAACCAATTATCTCATATTGATATTCAGAATTTTCACATGTTTAGCTTCATTCATTTTTTCTTCATTTCACAAAGATATTCTGTTACTATTTTTATATGTTAATGATAAAAAATAATGTCAAGTAATATAAAAAAGATTTCACTAATCACCTGGGCATTGCTGTAATTATGGGCGAGATTCATAATATCTCGCCTAATACCTGCTAGATTCACCTGCATGACGTCTTGCCCTTGTCTTCTCATCTAAAATATCATCGCTACATGTTACTCAATTGTAGTATTGTGTATCTTGGTTCTGGGAACCCATATTTATTATCGTATCCGTTCCAAGGCAAAAGGAAAAAAAAATCACACATGTTATATCAGACGTATAGGTACAAGCAGCTATTTACAGGATTTACATTCTACGAAGACTCGTAGTCTTTCAAAGATCTATAAATCTATAAACCTTGACTAATCTTTAATGTACGCAACCTATAATTGCTATATAATAATGTAAAAATAATAGCAGGCCAATTATGACGCAAGTAGCGTCTGATAATAAATATGGATGTTTTGTTTACACATGAAAGCCATGCAGCTACAAGTATGCGTTATTTTAAACGTCACAAAACTAGTGATATTGTCACCAAAATTTCAGTAAAATACAATTATAAGTCAATTAATAGCGGGAAGCTTAGAGCTAAAATCAAGGCATGCAAGGCATTAAATCAAATTACTTGTAACAAACAAATAGTAGAAAGAAATATAAATTGCGGAAAGAGAAATGTAAATACAATTTTATCTATACTATATTTTTATAATTGTTATATTATAAAAAATTGTACTTTTTCTTAAATATCGTTAAAGTTTATACAAGTTGCATACAGGTAAATCAAATTATACCATACCGCTAAGCAAAGAAAGTAAAGTACAATTTACCTATATTTAACACAATTTTATTTTAAAATCTGTACTTTAACACAATTCACCTGATTAATTATCCAATGATACATAAAAATATGCCTACATGCTTCAATGTAAGTATAAAAGGTCATTGACTTTGGAGACTAATAAAAGAATATACCTATATTTTCTTTTAATATCGTATAGAAATCAGGTTCTTTTGAGATGTGCCTATATAAAAATTTCTAATTAATATTATCTCTCTTTCTCTCTATCTTATCTGAGATAAGTATTGTTCTGGGCTACATGGAGTATATAGCTCTAAATTTCGAAACGAATCGACCCCAAATAATCGTACAACAATATTTAATGCAATACTGACTTGCATAATGTACATTTGTCATCATCATATTCACTACCTATTATCGCGTTATTCCGCTGGTGAACGTTGCAAAAACTAATAAAGGTGCATTGTAACAAAAAAAAACTGGAAAATCAAAATAATCCGAATATATATGTCACATAAGACATAACACACATAGCAATAACTGCTTGTAAAAAAAAAAAATATCAGATTGTTTTTACAAATACTGATAGATATTTACTGTGAAACACAGAGATCTTCTAATAATATGCTCTCACATTGAATATCATGTTATTACGAGTGAGTTACAGTTGTTAATTCAACGGTTATGAACACATCGTTGGAATTTACCTTCTGCATCGCCATTCTTGACTAATGAAATATCGCTGGCGGTTGTTGACGAAGCTCTTTAGGTTTCGCCCCCGAAATACAGAAAACTTCCGAATACTCCGAATCACAACAAAAGCCTAGGCTATCAGATGACACGATAAATAAGTAACGAGAATTTTATAGATAAAATTTGTTCACACCTTAAATGCATGATACGTCATTCTGCGTATATGGATGATTGTGACACGTTAAATCTGTTAAATTAATATGGTATTATGCAAATGAATATTACATGAAATTTTTTCTTGTAAAAATCGTCGGAATTTCAAACGAGACTCCGCAAAATTGTGCATATATGCGCGAAAAAAAAAAAGAAGTAGCAGCGATGCACACGTGTTCAATACGTTTGCGAATCGAGCTAGTATGACAAAAGATTATACTCGTAGCGACAACAGCAACTATTAATTTAAAAAGAAAATAGAAAAATATTATATTTTGTTTTTAATAGGCACAGCTCATAATATTCCCTAAGCTCCTTTTACGATTAATTATGTACAATAACGCGATTGACACGTCGTTGCAAAAATATAACAGCTCACGTATCTCACTGAGAAAATGTAAAGGAATAATTTCACACGTATACACGTACGCGCGATCAAACATCGATTGAGATACAACGTTTACGTTGACTTTTATGATTTAAAAGAGATCTTGGAAGATCCGTGACGTCGCGCTCGATTCGAAAGTACGAAAACCAGGAACTCATACTGGTTATATATGCGCCTCAGCAAAGTTTTCGACGAGCAAGTCGCTAAATTGAACAAAGCATAACCTGGAGACGTTTCCTACAGGGGAGAGAGAGACCTATCATCAAAACTACCCCGTTTACAGATGATAGAGCGCATGCAGAAAGCGTCCACGGAGAGAGAGAGATCACTTACACTGACGGAGGTAAAGATGCTGCACCTTCTTTAAGCGAAAACTGTGTACTGCTCTTCTGGAAAAAGAAAGAGAAACAGGTGAGGCTTTATCGTCCTTGCGGCGTGTTTCTGTTGTGTGTTCCCCGCCTTATCTTATCGCGGCGCGGTGTGATTTTATTCCTCATCGGAGCAACGTTACCAATCCGTCTAATGATAATTATTATATACAAAAAAAAATCATATGGAGAGATTGTTCTCGATATTTAAATGTCGCACGAATTAGCAACGCCTTGAGATTTCGAGCCGCAGAATATGTTTCTCGACGCCGTTATTGTTTCTCCCATCTCCGAGGTGACAATCTAAAGATCTTCCATAGCATCCATTCGCGTTTATTCAACGCGCGATATCGACGTTGTTACTTAAACATTGTACTCCTTTGTAATCACACGTGCATCTGCTTTCGCGGCACTGACTAAGTCTTCTTCTCCCCGCTGTCGAGCATGACTGTGCAGATATCGTCACTCACTGTTTGCAGAAAGTAAAGAAGAGTATAAACACAGCCAACAATGAGCTGGAAGAGCCTTAATCTGTTACACTAGATAGAAGATATATCACAGCGAGCCCGAGATCCTTTCTAAGGCTTCCTTCCGTCGCGTTAACAGCATTATACATATAATTGACCGTGAAAGTATTGATCATTATCCTCTCCGTCCTTTCGCACTGCTCCGTTGACTTTCTATTCCCCGTGTGCTCGCACGTGTGCTAACTGTCAAGATCTGTCACGTCGGAGTTGGGAAAACCAGCGACGGCGCGGCGAGATGCGGTAAACAATCTGCGGGGATTACACACACACACTTTAGAGAATCTCCGTGAAAAGAACAATCACATTTGTTGGGAATCGTATATCTCCGAGGCATCGCACGCTCGGAGAAGCCGAGATGCTCGCGCACTCGCGTTATCTCGACGATTTCCGAGAGTTAACGTACGTCAACGCGCGCGGAGGAGAGAGCGACGGAGGCGCGCGGGGGAGGCAGGCGCGGGCAGGAAACTATTGCCGTTGTACAATTATGCTGGCGAAGAGATCGCCAGGCGTTCCAGAGGTCGATTCCACCTCGCCGCCGCGCGCCTCCTCGACGGGTGCAACGCTCCGCGCTCCGCGACGAAGACGAGAGAGGCGAGCCGTTCCGCTCCGAGCGTGACTGGCGGAGCGCGCCGTACCCGCCCACCGAGGGGTCCGGGGTCCCTCGTCGCGCGACTAGATCGGAGTAGATGTAGGTGTACGTATACGTGACACGACTCTGACACGTCAGTCCCGCGGGGGTATCTCCGTTACGGCCGTGCGAGAGGGGTGGCGACGACGGCGGCGACGGGGCGCGGCACACCCGTTTTACGACGCTACGACATTAAAGGGTTGTTGACAATGTTGCGCGACCGTCGCGCGAGATGCTCGATCCGGAGTACCCCGTCGCGTCCATCCGAACCCGACTGAATGACGAGTGACGACGATGACGGTGACGATGACGACGACGGCGACGGCGACGGCGACGAGGACGACGGCTTCGTACTCACCTTGCGTGCGCGGGCGGCCACCACTCCGGGGAATTTGGATACGCGGGGGGCTCGCGAGAGCGTAACGGGGAACGGGGACAGAGTGGCGGAATTAAATAAGTAAGACACTTATGACAAGTCCATTCACAGGCACTGACGAATTGTACGGTTGCGGGGCAAGATGGCGCCTCGGGAAAATATTTCCGCTCCGTTCGCCGCGCCCGCGCACGAGCGACGCGTTCTGCCCCGAATCCCCCGTTCGAGGCGAAGAATTCTTCGGGGGGCGAGAGCTCGAACCCCCCCCCTGATTCAGCGATCAATTTGATAATTAAATGAAATTGTTGTCCCCCGATATAATTTTTTTTCCATATGTTAGACTGGTTAGACAACAAAAATTAATAATTTTACCTTAATGAAATAATATGGATGTTACTTGTTAATTAATCACTGACTAACGCGCATTTTGTCAACGTAGATTAACTTGAATCTCAGTTAAAATTTGTAAGAATTAGAAAAAGATAAATATATAGTAAGTTAAATCGGGATTAAAGTTAATTTGCATTGACAAATGGACAGATAAATCGAAATTTAAGTCACCCTAATATCGTCTCTCAAACATGATTCTCTTTCTCGCTGCGATTGTCCAGATTCGAGATTCGCTCGAAAAGCAAAGTTTTTAATTTCATGATTCATTGTCCCCGATATATAATTTTCCCTTTTTCCCATATGTTAGACAAGAAAAAAATTAATAACTTTACATGTTAGTAAAGTAACACGGATATTATACTTGATAAATTAATCGCTGATTAACGTACATTTTTACCAATGTAGATTAATTTTCATTTCGGTTAATCTCTAAGAATTAGAAAAAGATAAATAGCAAGTTAAATCAAGATTAAAGTTAATCTACATTTGACAGAAATGAACATAAGATTTCAGTCACCCGCTTTTAATATTCTTCTCTCGCTACGATCGTCCAGATTTCGAGCGAAGCTCGTAAAGCTTTATTTTCCTTTTCTTTTTCACATCTGACAGTAGAAGTTCCCAGAAATCCGTATCGCTAGTATATAACGTTAACGGCTGATTATTATAAATGAAGATACCGCATCTTGACTCTTTAATCGTTTCTCTTTATTCATTGTTATGTTCACAGTAGACTAGATTGATCTTATAAGTGGTTTACATCGCAATACGACACCCGGCAATTCATTTCTACGCTCTTTACAAAGTAATCGCAGTTACGACACCGTCCCTTCAATTACGTCGCTCGGTAATGCATGCATATCTAGATAAGGCACGATAAATCAAAATTGCACTCAGAAGAAAGATTCTGAGAGCAACGCTGTCCCTGTAGAAAGATCCAAATTAATGAACAATTTGCGAGGACGTATAACGGCTCGGGATTAATATTTAAACGCTGTCACTTAATTTGATGACGCATTGCCGGTTTTTGGATACTTTCGCGAGCCATACACGAGAACACAATATTGGTTGATCGACAATCAATTTCAATGGTATCAGTTTGTCATTTTGTCGTAAGTCATATTTTCATAAGTCGAGTTTCATAAAAGAACCATCGGAAAGATATATATATATATATATATACATGTATGAATTGTTATCTACATTTTTGTAACGCAATTAATTTTCCAGGAACGCAATATTCCACTTTCCCTATATATCTCACGCTTCCAAGACATCGAGAAATTACAAGTGCATGATAGACACAAGTTCGTAGATTCTATAAATGTTATTTTACGCAATAAATATTAATTTTTAAGTGACAGCACATATAATATTTGCTTTTTTTTTTTTTTAATCGTAAAACGTAAGCTAAGTGCATCGATAAATGCATTGAAGCGCATTTCTTAATTCAAAAGAATATCTTACAAAAAGTTCACTATCTACAAATGGAATAACATTTTAATAAACATTTGGTTTCAGCATTGTACGATCATTTGTATAATACTTTCGTCCATTTTGCTGATATACAGAGTGAGCCGAAATACAATTGGGAAGAAAATTTTATGACTTAAAATAAGTCAGAATGATGAAGACAAATCGTACAGAATATCTGTAGTAAAAAACATTGCGTCAAATATCAGCCAAATGCATATACTCGATTAACTTTCAAAGTCCTTTTTCTAAAAAATAAAATATTTGAAAAAAAAATTATTTTACTATTTCAACTTATTTTGAGCCATAGAATTACCCCCTTGCCGGTTGCACCACGTATTTCGGCACACCCTGTACAGTATTCCATAATAGGATATTCATAACTTAATTCAAAATTAATGGCGACGGGTATTTGTTTGTCAATTAAGTTTCAAATAATTAATTGGACTTATTCTATTTAAAGTTTACAGTACAATTCCAAACGCAGTATAATTTCAAGGATATAAAATTCAGTTATGAAAATCCTATTGTGTATGCCGTACTTATAGCAATACTGAAACTTGATTATATATAAAAACTTTTAAAAGATAACTATCCTTTAAACAATAAATTGTTTTATTCGTTTATTGCTTTACCGCATTTATCCGTATTTCGGTTTACGACTGCCAAGCGAAAATCAATGTTGTTGAAAAAATTCTCTCGTCTTAATCGATGGACTTATTCATACTGATGAAATTATGTTCATCTCAAGTAAACGAATCGTTCCTAATGATGATATTCCGTAGTTGGAGTCACATTGATCATGTCGGCGGTGCTAAAAAAAAAGATATATACATGTAATAAGTGCGAAAGAAAATTTACGCCCAACTTTTCTCAGTTTGCTAATAAAATAAAACCCAACGATATAAAAGCACAGGAGAAATTAAAATGCTTCGAAATGTAATACGTAAATTAGGAATATATATACTATCGACTTTGAGATGAATGTTCTTTTTTCAGGACATGCGACATGCTTTTTATAATATGCCCATATATATATAATTTGAATCGGATTTAGTCCGTGTTGTTTTTTGTCGAAAAAGGAATTTTTGTAATAATTTGGCCAATTTTTCGAGGATGTCGAGAAACTACTTCAACTCTTGTTTAATTTTGTGCCAATGCACAAAAAAGTGCAATTACTTCCAAATTTGATTTTAAAAATGTGCGTATATCCAAATATATATACAAAAACAAAAAATATATATACAAATATATATACAAAACGCAAAAACATAGAACAAGCATGTAACAAAATCACTTGGACAAACAGTTAACTATAACTTATGGTTCTCACATATGATACACAATCATTACTTTGTAACAATTATATTATAATTATATGGAATTATATTTTGTCTTCTAATTGCTTATTATTTATATATCACAATTATGTAAATAATAAAATCAACAGTGTTGTATTAAAATATTCTATCAATCGTTTAATATAAAAAAAAAAATTACACGTAGCTCTTTAAAAATAAACATCCTATTAGTCTGAGAAACGTAGCGGAAAAATGCACACATTCCGGCAAAGCATACAATACGCTAAATATGACTAGTCGAGCTAATTGTTAGTTTTTATTTGCAGTAAAATATTACTGAAATATTTTATACATTTCGGTATTTTCGTTGAAGTGATGTTATAAACGACAAAAGGATCGCCCGATTGGTCATATTTTATCAAGTTAACATTTTACACGTCAATTATAAAGGATAGACATAACACAATATCACAAACACTTACAAGAACATACATGGGTGCCCTAAGAATACTTTCTTGTAGTCGTCTTTACATTAGTTTGCTGTATAACATATATCAGATATATTATATTATCAACTCATGTTACAGAAAAAAATGTTAAATATGTGTCTCTGTGTCGACCTGACTCGAGAGGACAATCATTTGCAAATCACAAGTGATCATATTGTCTGAGATTGACATATATTAAATCGTGCATGTTTAATATTGCACAAAATTTAAAGTACATTTGTGAACATTAAAGATATTACTGGTTAATATCTTGGTTTTACAAGACTATGTTCAATAATTCGTGTAGATGTTCCTTCACCACATGGAGGATGTTAAGTAAGACGTTTTATATGTTTATTGTTTATATAGATGGAAAAGTGAGGAGGCTACATAACGTAAGAATATATTGGTTACCTCTTAGAACATTTAATATGTATAATGAGTAGTGCTACGCCCAGCAGTAAGCACAAACTCCCCACAACAATGTAAGCGATACCGAGGAAGGGATTCTTTCCTCCCAGAAGTGAAGTTGTACTTAAAATCATCTTTTTCTTTCCGTAGAAGGAGGATACTGAAAATGCTGAAAAGAAACATTCGAAAACGTTACTTAATTTTTCTCTCATTATGTTCATTTAAGTAAGATATATATGTGAATGACATCGACCTTTGATTCTTCATTTTACAAATTTTCGATCAGTAATTTTTTATTTCATTATTTTCGTGATCCCGAGTATCCTTACAATTCACCGCGTTTCAATTTGCTTAGATTACTTACAATATTTGACCTCAAGAGTGTAGTTTCCCGCAAGCAGACCATTCTTATAGCCTTCTTGAGTGTGGTCGACCCTGCGATAGAGTTTTCTGAAAGTGGGCAATGCAGCAGTTCTCATCCACACAATTAAATCCTCGTTTTGGAATCCATTATTTTCATCATTCGTTTCATCCAAATTGTAGATGTGTCTAGTCCAGTTCTTAGGCTTGGCAAAATTCTTGAACACCTCCCTCAGATCGCCCTCTGGATTTCTGAATTTGATGTTCTTGTCGGATGGCCAGGCTATGCCAGTTTTTAGCAACGGTACTGACTTATTGCCATGTTTCTCGGAATATAGCGTCAGCTCGTCGCTGAAGAGCGAATTTGCGATGGCGCCGCACGGGGCGATGGGAATTTTGGTATTGTTCACTTCCTCGTAGGCAAACGGCTCGCAGTCGCTCGAGACTGTAGAGTCCAGGTGTCCCAGCAGTTGACTGTCGTCTCGAGATTTTACGTATCTCCGATGATTCTGATAGAAGTTCGTCAGGCCGTAATACATGTAAACCTTGCCGGCAAACTCCGTGGCGAGCTCGAAATTTATCTTGCACGTGCAGTTTTCCGTTGGATTTGCCGCGATTACGTCCGCACACTTCTTATACGTCACCCCGTCGCTCTCCATGAACGTGGAGTTGCAGTTGGTGTAATCTATAGTATGTTCCTTGACTTCGTCCGAAAAGTAAAGCAATCCAATGCCGACCGGTATGAATGCAACTCCTATCACGAAGAACGTCGGTAGAACTGTGCCAGCTGTGAGTATCGGTTGCCAGGCTGGTAGCCGCTGCTGCTTAAACGCGCTATCTGCGTCACAGTCAAAGTTCACGTGTATTAGGAATAATTTTCGAAAATACACAGTATAATATCAACAACGATGCGATATATCATATAATCTTGTTGCCCTGACTTCGTTTTCTCGAATGTTGCATGTTACGGGAGTAGTTTCTTGTATATATAAAATAAAGGAAACGAGATTGTGTTTAGATAACGAGTAAAGATGTTTAAAGATAGACATATTCCTGCGCTCTCTCTGTTAGATCTTTCGCGCTGCTTTCCATAGCAAGACACAATTTTTGTTCGACGGAAAGATGAATCATTAGACGAAAGAAAATGCGTATCGCATCACCAAGAGCTAACGCGTTTTGTAAATAAATTAAGACAATTTTCGTAAACGTTAGTTGATTCGATGATACGTGATTCTGCGATCGAGTCTCCGTCCCTTCCAATTCTAGATTCCAAAATACGCAGAAGTCAATCGAACTTTAGCCAACTTCAGCAGAAACAAGTAAATAATTAAGACCTAAAAAAGGTTCGCAATACATTATTTAAACAACTCGGGGAATATGCAAAATTGTATACGAAATTATCTCTAGATCGTCGAGGAATCGTCGAGCAAGATGTACGAAGTCGTCGGAGGCCTATCAGCAAGAAAGCCCGTTAATTCGAGACCGTACGGTCTCTTGCCTTTAAAACCTCTTTAACGATCGTTTTAATCGCTCACCCGACGGCTTTTTCGATTTAGGCACCGCGTCGACCTCGCTGATGGACGTCATGATTTTAACAACGAGACTTGACACTTGACGGGCCTCGATAACCTAATCGGGAGGGTCCTGACAGGTCTCGACTCCTTGCATTTTAATGGCGACGGAAGACGGAAGTTTGATAAGTTCACAACTTCCGGACCCACAGGGTGCAGCACTATCGTTCCCCCATTGTTCCCCAGTCCCCACTGAAAGGAAAATCACTGACATGAGCGCTAATTACTTACTAGCTGTATTTTCCACTGAACGCAGCCAATGGGCGCGTTCAGCAGACCAAGCCGCTCAGTAGCAGTCGAACGTGATTGGCTTTTACTTTTAGAGCCAACCAATCAACGCGGAGTGTTGATAAGACGAACTCAACAGTTGTGTCTGCTGAACACAGCCAATGAGCGTGTGTGTTTCGCAATACCGCGGAGTATGAAATGTGCTGTCCATTGTAAAACATTTTTCAAACACCCCGGAAGTGTGGTTAAAAATTATTTGAAAACTGTATAAGCACATTTTTAAAAAAGTAAATTTTATTGAAAACAAGAAAAATAGATTTTTTTAAATACTGTCTTTATAATATTATTATCAAAATTAATTATAAAAAAATTGCCATGAGTTTCTGAGCGATAATTTACGTTATTTAGATTACTTAAAAATGCAGAAATAATCTATACAAGAATATTTTCATTCCGTATTAACTAAAATATTTTATTTTATGACTTTTATATACGATCTAACAATAAGTAACCGTAAATAACATAAATTATTCGCTCAGAAACTTATGGCTTGAAACAAAAAAATACAAATATAAACATAAATATATATAAATGTATATAAAAATACATTAATATAACCCTTCGTGTGCAACGTCGGGTCACCCGTGCCTTGGCGAAAGTGACTGTCCTGTATGTCAAGTGTCTGTTTATATAAATATATTGTTTAAACAAATGAAAAAATCGGCAATATAGCGATTGATCCTTAAAGTAGGATAGTTAATAAGGATAGTTAATAAGTAACATAAATTTTTTCAGATTTTTTTAGAACACTTTAAAGTATTTTTTAGGCGTCGGAAATGAGTGACCCGACGTTGCACGTTACAGGTGCCGAAAAAGACGTTGCACGCGAAGGGATAAACATTTAACCCTAGAACGCATGAGAGGGGTCGATTTCGACCCCAGGCGAACTTTGAACTACGCTCCTGAGCTAGCGAGTGACATTATTGACTCAGGACCTGAACCATAATTCATTTCAACTCTCTAAAAGTAGGGTTATGTCGGGCGCAGCGTTAGTTGTTCGCTAGCAGTGAAGTAGCACAGTCGCAAAGCGGGCGTGGGGTCGATATCGACCCCAGTCGTGAGTTGCCGTTTGAGTTTCGTCACGGTAAGCTAATTTTATTTTTTTGCTAGAATCAATATATTTCATGTATTATTACGTAATCTGAGCATAAATAGTCATAAATATTATTTAAGACGAAATATCACACAACTTAGTCGGTAAAAATCCCGTTGCCTATAGAAGATTGACATTTCGCAGAAAATGGCTGAGCGATATAATGTTTCATTTTTTTCATATTTTTTACTATTTTGTATCAAATAAAAATAAAATAATACTTGAAATACAATTTTTTATGGTTTTTTCATCGACTTTTTCCATATTTCAACTTTGCGAATTTCTTCATTTTTATAGTCCCAAATAAATATATTTTTTTAACAGAACATAGCGATGACAATTTTTTTCTAATAGTCTAATGTGTCCTCTTTAAAACCCCGTTTGAAAATTGAAAATCGGTTGATTACAAAAAAAGATACAAATTTTTGTTTAAAAAAAGAGGTTTTTGCTGATTTTCTGCGTTTTTCGGTCTTTAAATGGATTTTTCACTAACTAAACTTGAGTAAAATTAAATTTACCGCATACCATTCTCTTCGTTATTAAAAAACGAAGAAATTCATGTAGGTTTAAAGGCCCTTTATTTCTGTAGGACCGGTTTTACGATCAAATAAAGCGTGGGGTCGATATTGCCCCCAGTCATGGATTAGAAGGTCAA